GAATACATTTTATAGAAAGTTCGGTACGAAGGGCAGAACAAACTTATGGCCGTATAAAAGTATCGTAACCGGCGGGGTAGATTCGCTGAGCTCTGTATTTTGCGTGTACTGACGACGATTTTTGTCGGCTTTTATAACGGTAGCTACCTTTGCACCGCTAAGCGAAGGGCTCGATCGCGTTGCATCGCTTCGAACAGCAGCGCTGATATGTACAATCACCCGCTTTTTCTTCAACGACCTTGTAAAGACTTCTTCAATACCGGCGTCAAATAAAAGCGATCGTGCTCGCCATCGTCTGCTTCCAGTTTATTCGGGGACCGCCTGGCACAGGGGAGGAAGCGGAAGTTGCGTAGAAGCAGGTTCGGAGCACGGGTTTTTTTTTTTTGCCGTTCAGTAGGCGCTCCGATGACTCCGACTCGAGGCACTCCGTTCGGAGGCAAGGGAGGCTCTACTGAACGCGCCCAATAAGTGCCGTGGTCTGAAGATGCTCGTGCTATAAGAGTATTAAAGCAACACGAGCTTTGATAAAATGAAGGCAAATGCGGAACAGACCGCGGTGCGTGTAAAGGGCATCCAAAGACCATACAACAGCCGAGGACAGCGGGACGAGTGCAAAGCAGGGCGCGACCAAAGCGGGCACTGTGGCACTCGCGGCTGGAGTGGTCCTAAGTAAAATAGAGTTGATCGTGGCTGGGCCATACTTGCGCTATCCATGACTCTTTTACAGTGATGATTATCACGCCCGCCTGCAAATTTGATAGCTGCGCTGTCGCCGCTCTCATGTCATATCACGCTATAATACGTTGCTTTTTCTTTTTGTTGCGGCCGCTATGCAGGTCGTCCGCTGGGACGTTTTATTGCTGTCCTGACAAATTTAACCAGCTCAACTTGACTCGAGGTTGGGAGATTGCACGGAGCACACCACGCTACAGTTCGGTGGGGTCCAGTAGAGTCACTAAATAAAGCTAGGCTCCAGCCCGCCGCAACCAACGGCCGAAATCCATGATTTCCGCAGTTCGGTGACCGTCAAAAATCTGAGAGAATCCTTGATTGATTCCTGTTATCGTAAAACTATGTGTGTTTAATACGCCAAGGGCTTACCGGTAAAAAGTAACCCCCGCTGAACAAAAAGTAACCCCCGCTGAACAGAAAGCCAGTCCAATTGTGGCAGCCGACCAAGCTGCAAGCGCCCATCCCATAGCCGGAGGAAATTAGCGTCCCGGCGACGCCAGGTTTTCGTTTTCTCCGTTGCGATTGCGGCGATTTCCCTGATCGTCCTGTGTACCAGCAGCGGTGTGTCATCTGCTCGTGATCCGCCTACCGCTTGCTTTTCATCTTATGTTGTACCTAGAGTGCCTTCCTGTGCGCTTCGCATAGAGTGATGCCAACTGCCTGTTTCCCTTTCCCACACCCTCTTCCACCGCCATTTTGTTCCCCTCATTGTTTCCCCGGCCGTGCGCCGGAAAGTGGCCTTTGTGTCCATCGGTCATCCCATCCGAGGGGGAAAATGCTAATCCTCCCTCCCTGGGTTCTACAACGCTGCTCCGAACTTCTGAGATAAGGTGCTTGTTTCCGGGAGGGTTATAAGCCCCACGGATCATCGCCGAGGAACAAAATGGCTGCTGGTTTGTCGGCGAGTGGTATTACAAAGGCTGGCATCACCCCAGCAAAGCGCACATGAAGGCTCCCTAGTTGTACCGCAGCGAAGGCTAGAAACACAAGCTCATAGCGTTGGCAGCTGCCCTCGAGAGCTTTTGCCGCCGAGATGCGCCCTAGAGCGAGGAGCTCGCGCTCGTAGCCTTCCCTGCGGTACATCGTAAGGTGAAATAGAGTATAGCCTTCGATCTGATAAAGCCTACCGGACGGAGCGCGCAAGCCTGCAAAGAATCGTTCTACCAAGGGGAGTCCTAATCAAGTGGCCGTGGTTCTACAATCAACCATCCATCTCGCACGTGACATCTCACGCGCACCAATTGCCAGAGACGTTGGCCACAAAATCGTTTAAACTTTTTGACTAGGCTTCACAAATATTGCAACGTGCCCTCCCCTAGTGGGACCGGACATTTCATCGAACGCCGTTTCGTCGAACGCCGTTTCATCGAATGCCGTTTCATCGAACGCCGTTTCATCGAACACCGTTTCGTCGAAGCCGTTTCATCGAATGCCGTTTTATCGAACGCCAGGGTGACATTCCCGCTTCCTGAAGCTGGTCGGAGGTGCCCATCCGGGGTTCTGGAAGTATTTGGCTCGCATCGCCGCAGAACATCAACTGACGGAAGACAAGCTGGACGCGATCCTGAGTTCCCAAGAGCCTCCTCGCCAGAAGATGGCCATAGCGGCAAGGAATGAGAAGGTCCGCCTTTTTTATGAGAACCGAGGGACCATGGCTGTGAGGGACTTTTTGAGAGTAATTGCTCATCATTTGAAACGGTGAATGACTGTCGCACGAACACATGACCCCCTTAAAGTTTTAAAATAAAATTTAAAGTGACGTACTTACTTTTGACTTCATTGAGTATTAAAACTAAAAAAAAAAAATGTATCGTTGTAGTTTTATAAATAGCACCTCAGCTTTAGCTACTGCAAGCTTCGGGCAGTAAAAAAGTATCAATAGCAAGACACGAGAGGCTAGGAGGCTCACATGGCTTAAGTTGTTGCAACTGCACAAAACCTAAGTGTCTTCTGGCCTCCATGAGTTGGAGTGCGCTCTTACCGGGAGTGCGACTTTTTATTCATTTGTTACAACACCCTCAAGGCTCATCGAGTAATACAGAAGGGGTGAACAGAACAATATGCGAAACAAACATAAAAATCGGTACAAATATCCTCATGGGTTACTTGCATCAAAATAAATTGCAACAGCTACAAGTTTGGACATCAAAAAACCTGAAGATGAAATGGGAGAATGACACGAAAATGCACTCGATCCGTGCATAAAAGAGCATCTTTCACATTTTTTATATAAAAGACATTCGATGAAACGGCCGTCAGCGATTCGATGAAACGGCTTTCGATGAAACGGCGTTCGATGAAACGTCCATTTTTTCGATGAAACGGTGTTCGACGAAACGGCGTTCGATGAAATGTCCGGGAACCTTCTCCTAGTATTTATAACCTCCTTGGTTTCATTGTCTTCTGGAGCAGGGTCAACTAAAGCCCCTTCATGTTTCAAAAGTAGCGCAAGGTGCATCGGTGCACGAGGCACGTACAACATGCAGCCCTTGGGAAGATGTAGAGCCACAAAATGAGCTACGCTTAGAGTATCAGCACTCCGTTCCCCGACATTGTTGTGGGCGCCGCCATTTTGGGGCTTGTGCAGAGCAGACGCAACTGCCGTTCGTCTTGATCACGGTGGTCTTGATTCAGAAGTGCGACCTTCTCAGCGTTATATTTGGTGTTAGGAAGCTCTTGTAATATTGATTTTCTCCGTCGCGAACTGTTTAAAACATTTCTGGAAGACGGAAAAGTGTTTCCTGCGATTTCAGATAGAGCTTCAGATAACTGGCAGCCATGATTTTAGGCCACAATATGGCCAAATGTCGCTACTCTGAAGTGTAGCTTATTTAGTGGCCCTAGGAAGATGATGGCGGCACAGCGCAGCACTGAGCTAGATTTCAGACGCAATGTTCTTCCCAAAAGTGGTGCGCGGCACATGTCTCGAACATTTCCACGATGAACGGCGCCACTTTTCTCAGGATAGACAGTCCGCGCCGTTGCGTTTTCGCCCCGACTCCCGGGAGGGTCTTTTAAGATTGTTTAGCCAGCACAGGGAATGGTGGTCACCGAGTATCTATAGACTGACATGCTGTTTACAAACAAGCCCATGTTTGCCCACACCAGGTGTAGGCACTACGCGTGCACAGAAACCAAATTCGCGTGAAGCGAAACGTCTGCGCATGCGCCATGCCATCGGCAGTGCCACCGCAGCTGCGCGACGTCAGGGCCGCGTGTTGGTCTATACAGAAATTCAATTACCCGCTAAATTCAGCGGGAAAGTTCACATCTCGTGACATAGACCTCAATCTAGTTTCCCCACCAAAATTTAGAGGGAAAATATGTCACGCGACCTTTACGTGCGAAACAATCGCACGACAAACGGTGCACGCAAAGTCGTCGTCGTCGTCTGCTTCGCACGCCGGAAAAGCGGCGAGAAAAAAAGCGGTCAGATGTAGCCATGCGACCTCCGGCCACGAGCTTCCGTGCTAGTGTTTCGCTTCAATGACTGCAGCAAAATATCTATTGGATAGTCTACCGAGGCAATAATAAATCGCCTGGAAAAGAATAAAACAATTTTGAGGTGCGTCAGTTTAATACGCAGCCAGATTGCCTCCACCCGTGACGTCACAGCAGGAGCACTACGGCCTTGATTCTAGGTGGTGTTGGTTTGCGTGAAGAATGGCAAGGGAGAGAGCGCTCTCCCTAGTACCCATGTAGGCCCTTGCGTTTGAACATCGCCGTTCTCTGCCGGAGAGGAGCACAAACAGCTACCGCCATAAAATTACAATTCTCTCGCACATATCCGTGGTCCTCAAACTTTTTTGACCTCAAGGAACACCAGTCTTTCTCGACCGACACATTGGCAGTGATGCAGTAAAGCAGTCGAGAAGCCGAGAGACATTGTAAGCAATAATGCATGCACATACTGGGAGTGTTTGGGACACAGTTATGCACCATTGAGTATTTGTCGTCTGCTCAGATAATGGTCAAATTGGAAAGGCACGGCAGAGATGGCCAAGGAAATTGGGCACGTTGGGGAACCTTCGAGTTTCTAGAAACCGTTTGAGAACCCATGTTATACGCCACCGTTTAAATTAAAGCTCGGCTTTGAATTATCCAAACATGTAAAATTTAAATTCCTTTGTGCTTGATGCTGCAAACCTGAACAGACTCCTGCTGGTTTTGTCAGCCCGTTCCCAAAAGATGGAGATTCTCGTTGCAAAAAAACAGCCTTCCTGTCGCCTGTGCAGTCAAAGGGGCAACAAGTCACCACAGGTCCACACTTCTTTTTGCAAGTGTTTTACTAATGCAAAATGCACATGTTCCATACAATTCCAAAGATGTCTGTGGCACAACCTGTTTTCAAACAAAAACTGTTGCACGGAGCTTCATTCTGACAAACAAATGAGTGTAAATGGGAACACCTACAACAAAAAATAAAAGTTGAATTATGCTTAGGACTCCTATGACACTCGGTTCGACCCCGCGGCGACTACGGAGCAAAGGCCACAAGTGCTAGAGCATGCACGTTCCAAGAAGGGAAGTGCTTTTGAAATCCACGAGCTCCAGCTTGTAGCATTTGCCACGTACCCTCCGCAAGCCGAGACGGCATACAGATTCAGAAGACGGGGACAAAAAATATATACCAAATGCATTCCTCTATCTTCAGAAGTAGCGCGAGAATGATTCTGCTCAATGACCCGAGATTCCGCCCACCCCCTAGGCTGGCACGAGCAAAAGCTACACCACACTTGCCAAACCGCAGCTTCCCGTGTACAGACCCAGAAGGTGGTCATGAAGACTTTATCTGGCTTGCGCAGTGACGGGAATGCATTAACAAGTACGAGTCTTCAATACCCGTGTCAGCCAGGGGGTGGGCGGCACATGGAACGGTGCTATGACCCTCTTTCACGGGGATCGTCTCCTTGGCAACTCTTTGCACGCACGCCTCGAGGGCGGCCCTCGCAAAACGTTGACGTACCTTTGCATATCTCGTGATGATGGTAGAGTACGGTAACCTAGCAGCGTGCCTTCGACGCGGCCTACACGAAGGAAGAATCCTAGCTTTATCAAAACGCCTCTCGCTCCCTACAGGCGGGCTCGCCTCGAACGTCTAACGGAGCAAAAACGGGCTCCGTCGTCAAACGAGGCAAATTTGTTTTTCTATAGGTAGTAGACCCTCGCGAAGCCTGTGTGTAAACACCACACAAGCATTTCAAGTATACAACATGCGGCCCTAAATTGAAAAACCGTCCTCCGATCTCTCCGACCCCCAAACTAGTTCCCCGGAAATGCACCTATACTTGGTGCTAAGACGAAAAATAAACCTAGGTCAAAAACAATGGAAAATAAATGAAGATGCTAACAGAAGAAAAACAGAAGCGACCCTTAGCCTCCGGCATTCTCTACGCAGGCCGTCGTTACAACCGGAGAAAAAAGGAGGAGCAATTTATTTTAAAAAATTTTCCAAACTTTGTCTTCTAGAGACAAGAATCAAGCTGGGCGGAGGTACAATGACTGAAGGAAAAAGAAAAAAAAAAAGAGCAGAACACCTTGTTTGACATATCAAGCAACGCATCGTGCCCGGTATAACAGCGGCGAGAACTAGAATACGGGGAAGAAAAAGACAATATAGGAAAATAGAAAAAAAAGTGTGAATAAAACTAAATCAGTTTCTTCCCCGTAGCCATCCTGTGGTAGCGATGGCTCCCGGCAGTCGGTGGTGGCGGAAAGTGGTGGTGGCGGAAGGTCGTGGTGCGGGTGTAAATGGCGGCAGGCAGGAACTAGATCTTGGGCAACTTGGAAGCCTTGACAACCGGGTTGTTCCTCTGCAAGATGTGGCGGCCTTCCGTCTTGTAGTCGTGGGAACAGTGGTGCAGCTCCGCGTAGCGGTGCGCGGCGCAGAAGTTCTTGCCGCACCTGCGACAAAGTGCGAAGCGAAGTTTTGGGGTCTGATACCGCAAAAAAGGTTCTACTGTTCGCTTTGAAACACCCAGCCGAGTGTGCAAAAAAAGCCCTCCAACTGACTCGAGTGCCAAACGTCACAAATTGACGACAGCACCACCCCATGGGGACCTTTCCCACTTTCCCACTAGCTTTGTTTGGATGGCGAAGATTTAAAAAGAAAAATTGTAGAGCCCTTCCATTTTACGTGAAGTTGGAAGATGAGCAAAGTTGTTATTTTTTCGACGTCTAAGACGATGCCTAGAGGACGGCGTCTAGGACGACCTCTAGGACGAACTCAAAAACGACTCCTAGGACAACCTCGAGGACGTCTAGGATGACCTCAAGGACGACTTCTAGGACGATGCCTAGAGGACAACACCTAGGACGACCTCAAGGATGACTTCTAGGATGACCTCAAGGACGACCTAAAGGATGACTTCTAGGATGACCTCAAGGACGACCTAAAGGATGACTTCTAGGATGACCTCAAGGACGACCTCTCAGATGACCTCAAAAACAACCTCGAGGACGACTTCTGGGACGGCCTCGAGGATGACGTCTAGGACAACCTCAAGGACAACTCCTAGGACGACATCGAGGAGGACACCTAGCATGACCTCGAGAACGACTTCTAGGATGACCTTGAGGACGACCTCGAAGACAATGCCTAAAGATGAAAACAAGGGATGGGGACCTCACTATCTAATAATGCCAAGGAAGGCTGACTCATGCTGGTAGCCCCCTCTTTTTATTTTTATTTATGCATACTTGTCACGACTAATGGGAAGTTTTTTTGTGAAAATCTGCGGACGCATTTTTTTCCCACATCCTAGAAGGTAACAGCTTCGCTGTAAAACAGACATTTCATCCATCCGTCCAGTTGAAAGGGCCATGTCGGCAGCACCACACTGGGTCATTCGAGCCAATCTGTCTTTTTTATTATTTTTGCAACAGCTAGGAAAATGAGCAGGTCCTCTTCGCTTCCATTAATGTAAAATATAAGACAATGGCAAAGCCAGCAAACCAGAGCTCCTATAACTCCCTTTCAAGTATTGTGCACAACAGTCCAAGAAATACAAAAGCAGGCACGTTATTTTAGAGCGGGAATTTTCAAACTTTTTAATCTCGAGGAACCCACTTTTGCCCCCAACAACAACCGAGATCCTCTCCTAGTCTAAGCATTGGCCCTATAATGCAGTGGAGAAGCTTAGAGACCTTATAAATGACAATGCACACACTGAGGAGTGCTTGGCCTATAGTTATGCATCAATGGGTGACTGAGGCCTGCTAAAATAGTGCTTGAACAGGAAGAACACTTGCTTCGGAAACGGGCGGCCAGGAAAATTTGGGAGCTCGAGGAACCCACGAGGGTACTCTGGAGAACCTCTGGGGTTCTTGGGACCCAGTCTGAGAACCCACGATTCAAGTTTAGAAGGTGCTGCTTCGCACAAGAGCTTGTGTCACCAAAGACACACTCTCAAACCCACAGCTTAAATAGCACGGCACACAGATTGCCAGGCAGGAGCGTAGTGAGGAGCGTCATTGCAGGAGCAATTTGGTGAGGCTCCCCGACAAACCACGCCTCGTTCGGGACGGCCTGCCCCCTCTGCCGCTGAGCGGCGGTGCAGCCCTCCTCACCTGCAGACGTAGGTGGAGGCCAGGCCCGTCTTGCGGTTGCACCAGGAGCAGCGCTTGGCCAGCTTCTTCTTTCCCTTGAGCGGGGGCAGCTGCGACTGACTAGACTCCTGCGAGCTCTCCCCCGTCTCGCTGTTCTCCTTGGGGCACTCGTCCACGGCGGAGGATACCACCTGCGGTGCCTGCACCACCCGGATCCCCTCAGCATCTCGTCTCACATTCCTTGCATTCTTGCCTTATCCTGATCTTCTCATCTCGCATTCCCTACATCTCATCCGTCACATTAACTGCCTCTCATCTTATCCTGGCATGCATTTCCGCCATCTCATCTCTAGCTTTCCCTGAATCTCATAAAATCTGGAGTTTTTACGTACCAAACCAACGAAGGGCATCTGGCATGCCCCAGTGGAGGACCGAGGATTAATTTCAACCACCTGGGGATCTTTTGGTATTATCAATCAAAATGCCGACTACATGACACCTCTTCCGCAATAAGCCTCCGTCAGATTGCGGGCACCCCGGCCGGGATTCGAAGTTGCCGCCTAGGAATCCATAGGCCGGCGCTTTGCCTCAAGACCACGCTGCACCTTGTCTTACCATTATCCCATATTCCCGAGATTATCCTTATCTTTATCCTGATCAGATATTTCTTTTATCTCCTTGCATGCGTTGCCTACATCTCAATTTCACTACCTTGTTAAGAAAGTACCTACTGCAACAATCAATGCTATGATGCAGCACCAAATGTCAATCGTTAACAATTGCATGCGCCATTTAATGGCTTTTCTTGTAACTCAAAGCACTGCAAATAAAGGACTGGGGGGAAGATAGATGTCACCCATCCCTACTGCAAAGAAGGAGGTAAATTGCTATTCGCCAGGGTTCAATGAGACGGAAAATATTCAAGAAGCGTTGAGTATTTCCCAGAGTGCAAACGAACTAAATTCAGTCTATCTTTTCAGACAAATGCACACAACCGTTCCTTAAGGGCCAACCAACAAGAAACTTTTCAAACAAACTGAGTACCCTCCTCCCCACTTTCTCTCAACCCTCTCCCACTGGTCAGGTGAGAGCAGGGAATCTTTTTTGCGCCGGTTTCAATTGAAGGGTTCGTCAACAATGTCTCCTGCCAGTGAGAGAACAATGAAAGAGGGTGAGAAGGAAGGGGGCTGACGTCTCAAGAAAAGAAAATTTTGCTTTTAACAATAGTAAATGGAAAAGTGGTCTTATCTCAAAAATATATTTTCTCAAGGGGATACCCATCATACAAGGCCGCTCGATTTGTCGTCGTTCAAACTGACCGGCATCGTTTAGTGCGTCTTCTGAACATCCAACAAAAGTTTCATCCACCTTTCAGCACCTTGCAATCATTTTCAAAACTTTTCCAACGGCTGCTCCAAGGAACACAGTATTTACAAAAACAGTCTACTTTCAATGTCCTTATAACGCACGTGGTATGCCACAAAATAAAAAAATATTCCTGAAAAAAAAGAAGTTATGCTACACGCTTATTTTGTCCCTTGCTTAGGTAGTTTCTAAACCTTTTGAAAGTAGCGGGGGGCACTTATTGTGATGGGGGCACGTGCATGGTATTGTACGGTAAATGCAACTCAACGCTCCTGGAATGCGCTCGAGTTTTGTCTCTCATCTGCTAGAAACATTGCATGAAAGCTGGTGGCACCCTGCATCCTGCTAGTGAAACTCACAGGAGCAGACGACTTGGCCCCGGCCGACGGACCCGCGCTGGTGGACTGCCGCTCAGGACTGTTCTCGGAAGGGCCGTTGGACTTGGGCTCTGCAAGACACGCGCACCATAAATAATCATACGCAAACCCACATCTTCAAGTGATCATGTTGTGCACACTATACGAAGCACTCCGGGCTTCCATTTGACTGTAAAAAAATTGCAGCGGCATACAAACCGGCCGATGGAGAGAAAGAACAAGGTTTAACTCGTTCAGTCCTAATTGGGTCACCTTTCTGCTGTTGATTCATCACGCTCATATCCTCTGAGCGGAGGTCCTTAAAAAAGCTTAAACGAGTCGGCGACTTCTGAAAAGCGCAGCAGTTTTTTTGTCGGAGAAACCACTATTCACGTATCTCTATGCTTCTCAGGCAAACTCGGTGCTTTGAATTGAGCTTCGTACCGCAGAACAGAGTTGCGGAATGAGCACCCCCATTCCATTCCCATTCCACAGAATTTAATTTTCCAATAATGCCATTCCTTTGAACTCCTAGGAATGAAAACACTGAGCCCATTCCCACACCTGAAAAGTGGCGCTTGACGGCTACATTAGGTTGCCAAAAAATAACGTCAGCATAAAGCTGACGTTATGAAACGTATAGACAACTGCAAGAATATTGTAAGGGGCAGCAAGGAAGAAGATAACGTGACAGAAATAAGAGGAAAAAGACGAGAATGGACCGATGGATGCTAGGAATAGACAGACTAAAATAGGACAAACCCCATTAACCGCGACATTTGGTGGCAGTGGAGGGATCATCGCCTATGGATACCCGATGGCAAGTGGCTGCCGCAGAGGCAAGTGAGGATGCAACGGATTCTGCAATGACAGACCACGGAGGGGTTGTACCGTTGACTAGCTGAAAGCAATGCAGCCAGTTCCGCCAACCTGCTGGAAGCCTTCGGTGGTCACCTGGCCAGCTGTCTTGCTCAAGTGGAAACCACAGTGGAGCAGCGAGTCACCACCATGAGTCAACAAGTGGATAATACTCTTCAATCAATGGAGTCCAGGGTCCAACGCCTGGAGCTGCATGCTTCCCCTGAGGCACCAAGAGAAGGGTCGAGCAACAACGGAAGTAACGTCCTATACCTTCAAGCTTCGGTTGGGGTCCACAGGCCGTTTGTTTGGGAACATCTTCTACGATATAATCCGACGACCCTGCAATTGTCATCGCCAAACAGCAAGCACTCTCCAGGAACTAGCCAATGCAGTCGAGCGTTTGACAATTAAAGTTTTTGTTTGGTTCCCCGAAACAGTGCTAGGCGAACTGTCAACGTAGGCGTTCACTGATGCGATTAACGATGCCGAGATCTAGCACTTTGTAAGACTTGCACGTCCATGCATGATTCCGTCTGCATTGGCCCATGCACTGGATGTGGACGCCACCAACTCGGCAATCGAGTCTGCACAACCTTCCGATGCTCAAAGGCATGGTTCCCCGTGGTCTACGGAGTTCACGCTCCGGAAACACTCAACGCCGGTGCTTTAACCGAAACCACGAGGAACACATTGCCCAGACTTGCCTCCTGACTCCACATAGCCAGCAGGGAAACTACCGAGCAAGACCGAAGGGGCAGGATCCCACATAGTTCATCGAGTCCTCCATTTTGTCGATATCATCAAACTACTCGAGGGCACCACAACTAAGCGTTTGCCTTCAAGGAATATAGCAAAACATCACCGCCATCATGGATACGGGTGCGGGAGTAACTGTTATCAATGCCGACTTGCTAAAATCTCGTACGGCTCTCCAGGTCTCTCATGACACCTTATTTGTTTTCTGCCAACAGGTCAGCCATCTAACAAGAGGGACAAACTAATTTGACAGTGTAAAACATGAAAACGAGTGTTACTCTTCTATTTGTCGTCGCCCGTAACCTTCAGTGGCCGGATTCTCGGTTGTGATTGGTGCTCTGCTGTCGGCTTGTCTTTCTCATTTTGCCACGATGAACATGATTGCGCTGTTTTGCCGGTGATATCCCAGCCAAAGCCACGCCATATCGACAACGACAGCACCCACGAAATGCAACAAAGAAAGTGATCTCCTCAGGAGTAGGGTGCCTCCATGAGCGCTTTGCTTAAAGGGATACTGAATCGAAACTTAAAATATACAGGAAACACCTAGAGATAAGTCAAATGGAATCAGATAAACCTGTAATTGATAATCGCATGGTCATATTTCAAGCGGATGGCTGTATTTTTCGTTCTAAATGCCTGGATTTCAGCGAGCGCTTCAAAATCAGCCGTCGAAGAGCGCGATGCATCTCGGGAGATCCGGCGCGGTCTTGACGTCATCATGACTCGGAGGGCCAAGCGTACCGTAGTTATGAGTCTTGCCACTTGGTGGCATCAGCGTGTTACAATCTCACATAGTCGAAGTACCCGAGGGCTGTAGTAGCATACTGTGGAGCCGGCGGAGCGGCTTCAAGTGAATGGTCGCCGACCAACGCGACGAGAGCGGTCGGTAGATGACATTAATAAGGACGAAGAAGCCGCCACGCCGCTACATCACCAGGCCATGATGGCCGAGAAGCGATTCTGCCTAGAGTCGTATTTGTACGACCCATCTGTCTTGTCTTCATCGTCCGCATCAGGTAACAGAGCTTATTCACAAAACGATCTTACAGCAAAACCTAAGTACCGTATTTACGAAGCGAAATTATCGCAAGTTTTTCGCACGCTACGATGAGATCCTACGACCACGCCTACGACAGCTACAAAGCTTTACGGACTTTTTGTGATCAAATTTACATCGCCAGCCACATCGCACGCTTACGTCTTCGCGACGACCAACATGCATTTCTATGTGCTCTCTGTGCGCGTCCCAACAAGAGAAAAGAAGAAAAAAAAAGTAATTGAAACTGAACACCGCGGCGGAGACAAACGGAAGAACCACGGATACCTGAAAAAAACTACAACGACAAGGACCCACCGACCAAGCGACCACCGAAGACGCTAGGCTTAGCAAAACACTTCGACGATCCGGGGCAAGACCACCTGCACACGACCGGCTGGCTTGATGAATGGAATACGCCCACGCGACCTTTGTGGACCCTCCTCGTATGAATAGTTTGATCCCTGACCTCTAATTTGGGGTAAGAAGGTCAGTCTCTCCCCCCGTCGTCCCTTCAGATGCAGCGTGACCAATGTTTCGTCGAAAAAGGAGACACTCCTATAAATTCTATTTCCTTTTTTGTGTGTGTGTTATGGAGCTCAAATAAACGCCATATGAATTGCCTTCGCGACATGGGTACGTACACTTTTGTTTAGATGTCCATTTTATTTCGACATGATACGCCAACACATGTCGAGTTAGAGCAGTTTTTGGGAGCGACTCAATGCCGGTCCAATCTTTCTCTGCCGAGCGTCTCGTCAGCATCGAGTTGCGATTGTCTAGAGGCCCAGCAGTTCATAAAATCGGTTGTGAAAGACCGATCCCGAAGCGGCTACCAAGAACGCTGACACTCTTTTACTCCAAACGTATCTTCCTGGACGTTGGCTCTCTCCCTCATCCCCGAAAAGCGCCGCAAATATTTGTTTACATGCGCGCCGCTTTGCAGAGCCGTACGGGCCGTCTCCTTTTAGCAACGATGGTAGTTGTGTTGACTTCTTAGTGATCGAGTTCGTTATCAGTTGCGGTCGACGAAGGCAGCTATTTCGTAATCAGGAAAGGTGGGCATGCGGGCCTGTTTTAAAGGGGTACTCCACCGGTTTTTTCATTGTCTCCGATTTGCTTGAAATTTTGCTAAACTAGCCAACAAACATTGCTAAAATAGTATCCCAAATATTAGGTCAAAATATTGCTTTTTCGCGAAGTTATTGAATTTACTTTTTTGGTCTTCACCATGTTTTTCAAACTGAAAGTCTCTACTGGCAACAACAACAAAGTGACGTCAGTGGAAGGCAGGGGTTAACTTTTTGGACTACAGAAGTTGTTCCCAACGGATTTGAAGCAGTTTCATGGTGTCAAATGAGTGCTTTGGAAGCTCGCTCCCGTATCCGCGCTCCAGCACGGAAGAAATGATTGCCATATTCTATTTTTAGACTACTTGCTCGATTGGCAAGCCTGCCTGCCACTGACGTCACGGCACTGAAAAGTGCGCGAATATTTGAATATTAGTTTTTGCACCATTTTCATTTGCCGATTTCACAATACCTATTATGTATTTCGCGATGCTAAATAGCATACCGGAAAGGCTAAAGGCTGGGGAATCCGGAAATATAGTTAGTTGAGGTAGCTCAAAAAATCGGTGGAGTACCCCTTTAAACAGACAATTCGTAGCGTGAATATTACATTGCACGTACACAATCTCCAAACCAGCCCAAAGAAGCGTTGCCGGAAAGACCGCCCGATACTAAAACGAACGGTGGCCAACTCTGCTGTTGCTTTCTCCATCAAAGCGCCTCGGTACTAAATTCAGGCCTAAGTAATGCCTATGAGTGGCCGTACTTCCCGCTGTGGCGCTGCTCTTACGGGCATGTTGTCGTCACGACATTCCATCGATGCTTCACAGACATCCACGAGGTGGTTTTTGGTTATCGTTTTATTCAGTTTAAAATTTGTTTTCTCGCGTTATCCTACGGAATATTGGTATTGGTGAAGTCCTACTTTAACCCTCTTTATGTTCAAGCAAAGAGATGGGCTCTAGAATTTGGTTTCCGTACCCCTTTAAGGTGATGACACCTTACCTTTTTGTTCCCAACGCTTATTTTTTTGTCACGAAGCGCATGAAAGAGCATGTCCCTGCACGAGCTCAATGCACTGACTGTGCTACGGCGACATTTTCTCTCAACGATTTCTTTGTATTTTCTGTGCGAACTTGGCTGTCGGCATCGAGTAATTCAAAGGATGGCATCTCCCTAAACAGAAGAACACTGAGGCACCCCAAAGGCATTTAGAATGCCTTTGGAAAATGCCAAAGAGACAGCAGACTGTTTCACGGTAAAGAAACGGCAATGACGCAAATCGCCAAGAGGCGCCGAAAAGCCGCAAGAACCAGCGCCATCCTGGACTGTGGCAGCGAAAACTCTGGCCGCCTGGCACTGACCGGCGGGGATGCGGCTCTCCTCGCCCTCGTGGTCTGCCGCCAGGCGCCCCAGCCTCGACAGGTTGCGCCGGAGCTCGTTGCTCGCCTGCAGCAGCTCGCCATGTACCTTGCGGAACAGGGGGATCACCGCCAGGCGTGAAGACGACGACGTCCTCCCGCCCGCCAGAGCCCAGCGGATGCCCTCCGCCCCCGTGCGAGGGCCCAGGGCAGGACTGGGCGGCTGCCTCCGCTGCGCCAATCCCGGCGACGACCGCTCCGCCACGACGCGCGCCAGGCGCCGGTGGAGGGCGTAGCCCTCCGGCCGGTTCCCCGCTACGAGCAAAGAATTGCGAGACATTTATAAAAAAAATAAAGAGGAAGTGGAGTTTCAAGTTTGTAATCGAGTGCTACGTCCGCCCAAGGCTTTAGTACCGCTCTCCACCTGCACAAGCATGAAGCTTCAACGCGTCGCAACGGCGTGCCAGGAGCACCAACCGACCCAAGGAGGCACCTCAGTTCGCTCGACGGGCTCGGAAATTTTGTTCCCCATTATAAGCCTACATTTAGGTATACGACTATAGGTCACGACCTCCAACTTTAGAGCTCTGAGAGAAAACAATGTTGACCTCCATTTAAATTACGGTGCCAGGAACGCGTCCGTGACCGGCATGTCTACCGAGTCCTCCGACGTGGTCCCTCAATTTCCCCCGGACTACGTCGAAAAAGCATTATGCTGTTGCCTGTAGCAATCCTGGCGGTGGCGCGGCAGCAAAGGTTAGTGTGGAAGACGCCCGCTCTCCCGCCCGACAGAAACCAAAGCAGACGCGAGATGGGACAACGGCGGCAACCCTCCCATTCTCTCGCCCTTTTGGCCGGCATCTCTATGACCAACCGCCGGGATCGCGAAGTCTGACGGCACGACTACAGTTGCTCCCGCGACACAATTTGTCGCCCCTTTGGGACCTCTTTCGACACGCGGGCGGGATGCAACGCCAAATGCGCCGGTCGAAGACTTGTTCCGGGCACCGTAGTTCAAATAATTATAGTATCTGCCTGTAGCCCTGAGAGGCCACAAGAAATATGTTGCTGTAGGAGAGCGTCTTCTCGTCTAGTGCGTGGGACCCCGAAAGCGGGTAGCGATTGTTACATTTTTGGTTTGCTACTGTCTTACCGCGGTCCACTAAAAAAATGATACAGGTTCAAACATGCTGACAAAAAAAAACAGGAAGCACAGAATGTGTCCAGCACAAACCACACTCCGCGAGTCATTTGTGCTAGATTTTTTTATCTTTTCACTGTCTATTCTGTCGTTTATTTTTATTTTATTCTCTTATTTTTATACCTTATTTATTTATTGATTTTATTTCTTATCTACTTTAAGTAATTTTTTTATATTTGATTTATGTATTACGAACATAGGCGTAGACTACGGGGGGGGCATCGGGGCTCATGCCTCCCCTGGTGAGATCCGGGGGGGGGGGGGGGGGGGGGGGGGGGGGGGGGGGGGGGGGCAGAGCCCCTTTCCGGGGCCGGGCCATGATCCTTACCGAGACGCTGTTTACGTGCCATGTAACGAGCTTCTAGTAGTGGCATCTAAACAAAATAACGCCCACGTTCCCTTTATTGACAAAATACGTAGAAAATGGAATCCAAGCGTGCTTTCGTTAGCTTCAATCTCCAGTTCTGGCAAAAAGGCAAAAAGGCACTGTGGCACTAGACTAGGTTACGCTTGCCTACCCTACGTCAAAACAAGAGCCGCGTTTGGGGGCGGACGCACCTTCCGAAGAGTGGACGAGCGGACTGGGTGAAGACAGGGGGCCGTCCTCCTTGGCCGAGGGCGGCAGGTCGCCCAGGGAGTCCGTAGAGAGCTCCGCCTCTCCGTCAGACTCTCGGCTCTTCTCCGGGGAGCAGGGCGAGGAGACGGCCGAGGGACGGATCGCAGAGTGCAGCACCGACAGCCGCACAAACCTAATCCGGGGAAAAAAACTGTGAAAAAAAAACAACTGCATACCAGTTCACAAATTGCAGCTCTGCGTTTACTCTTTAACGGTACTGTTTAAAGGAATGCTGAACTGAAATTTTGAGCTCACGAAACAAGGCTTGAGGGGTAGGGGGGACACTGAAAAACCCCAAAACATCTCTCATACAGCGATGTCTCTAACGGATGGCTGTATTTTTTAAAAAGAAGCGCACGATTGAACATGGCTGACGAGGTTGACGAGACATGCGACGTCGAGATTCTCATTCCCTCTCCTCCTCACTTCGTCCCCTCGAGCAGGTGAACGGAAGGAAACAAGAGAGAAGCGAGGCTGCTTCCCCTCAAAACTGTTCTAAGAGAATTGTGACGTCACATTCCTCGCCTGATCACGGCCTTCTTTTCCAGAAAATATGACCATCCGTTTGAGATTTCAATGTATGAGTGATGTTTCGGAGTTATTAGCATCCCGTTCAACACATCTGCAGGCTTATTTTGCGAAATTCAAATTCAGGTTCAGCATCCCTTCAACAAGTCCGCAATCCGGTCTTGGATGCCTCAAGAGCAAGTACCTGCAACACTGTATTGTTGTTTGAAAAATAGAAATAAAAATTTGGCAGATTTCTTTGTTGTCCGATACAATGCTGTGTACCTGTAACTGCGCAAGTCGTGCGTTTTTTGAAGATGGCTGTTCAACACAGAATCGAAGATGGCTGCTGAGCACGGAAGCTGTATATTCAAATGTTCGGAGCTCAAACATGCTACCTTCGATAATCGCAAATGAACCAACAGGGTCAGAGTAACAAACGTCCACAACATAGAATACACGGAATGAAACGGACGAAAAAAAGAGGAAAGGCTGCGGCAGTTGCGGCCCCTACGCTGCGCGATCGGCGCTGTTTAGAGCCATCTGTCAGCGGCTTTGTGCAGATTTTGCCTTCTACCCAGACCTAGTTCCTCAATCTGCCGCAACGACTCGTGTCGCTAGTTTTCTGCTACCACGGTGGAGGCTAGGGCCGCACCAGGCTGGCCACAGTTCATAAATATAGGTAGCTAGATAAGATTAACCTAGCTTAATAGAGGACAGGCAGAAGCTTGGGAAGAACTTTCAATAGTTCAGCTGGACTTTCGTTTTCAAGCACAGTGCAAAGTACAGTGAAAGGCAAAAAAAAAAACAATTTGATATTCAATTCGAAAACATCCAACCAAAACCACTATTCCCACTATTTGCTACCCTTTCACTTCAAACTCAACATTTCCTATCTGCACACGCACCCTACGAAAGCAGGCCCAGTTCACGTCTCTGGCATCTTCTCAGGAACATGCGGTCAGAAAATCCCCAGCAACCAAACGTACGAAGTTCCATTTTCTGCTCATGTCCTTACTCTCCCATTTGCCCACTCGCAATCGTTCCAAAAACCACCGGAATTTTATCTTTAATTTTGCACAGTGGAGAAGTGCCTGGACAGGACAGACACTGATAAACCTCGATTCAATTTCAATATACCGTAAAATACCGCAGAAGTGCCTGCTTCGTTCCCAAGTACCCACTACTATTAACATTTGCCAAGCCAAACTTGAAAATTCTGAAAACATACATTCAGCACCCCATTTGACTGGACAAGCGTCAAACAGTATTACCGTATTTTACGGTAATACTGTAGTCACAATGGGATGAGGACGGCAGGGAGATAATTCAGCCGTCCCGCCTCCGGCGACACTTCGGCATTTTACGAGCCCTGAACATGTACACAAAGTTGAAGCACGACGGAGGGCAACGAGCATGTGCCGGTGGCCGGGCACCCGACAGAGGTGCCCCGCAATTCTTATCCCGTTGGCGGCCACAGCAACAAACTATTTCCGCAACACGACCCCTGCCCGGCGTCTGTGCCTGGCGGCCAGACTCGCGGGAAAGGAACGTGCGGAGAAGGGGGCGGAGAGCGGTACGGTACCTGGCGGGAGCTGTCTGGGGCCTCTGGCAGTCCCAGGCGTCCAGCTGCAGGGGGGGCTCCAGCAGGGGGGCCAGGTCCCCCTCGGGAGCCTCCCGCTCCTTGGGGCCCTGCCGCCCCAGGGGGGGCAGCACCTGGGGAGGGGGCAAAGAAGCTCCGGGCAAACCGCCTGTGCCGGCAACTCCCCAAGCGTGAGGCTGGACGGAGTTGCGCGCTCACACCGGCAGCTTTTTAACCGACGGACGGCCTAACGCAGGATGCGGCGAATCTCTGGCATCTCGTCGTCTCTCTGCGGCCAATGAAGTTACAGCACCAGCCAAACAGAACGCCGGAAAACCAAGTGGAAAGCGTGAACATAAGCCACGCCTCGCATTTAAGTGGTTCGTGACTATACCGTCAAACCCATATGCATTGAATTCAAAGGAGATCGCAAAGTAGATTGGTATATCGGTAATTCCATATGGGTATAAAAGTATGTTAATTTCAGCTCCCAATTGTAATTTCGGCGCGTCTTTGCCTATACTGAAGACCGCAAAAACGGGAGCATACCAAAATGAGCATCCGAGAACCACTAAATAAAGCAGAACCTGGTTAAAACATAGTTGGTAGAAACAACGAACGCCATTGCTCGCGCATGCGCCTCGCCGCGCTTTTGCATGCGCGCGGCCACGACCTCGACAGCTTGGGCCACGGAACGTGAGAATAAAAAATAAAAAAGAAAGCTGAAGTTAGAAAAACAAGCGTGGGACGCGAAAAGAAAAGAAAGCAACTCTTTTCATTTGCAGATAAAAGCCAAACGAGCAAAAACAACAAAAGAATAATTTACATATGAAAGACAAGAGGGAAAAGAAAAGGCAAACCAGAAAATGGCTGCACATTTGGTCATTGTTTTAAAAGTGCTTAAATGCGGTAGCTTTAGGGTGGGTGGTGCTTGCGGTGGTGCCTAGGGCAAAATGACCCTTATGGTAAATTCCACTGGTAGATTCAGAGCGCTTTCCAAAATCCGCGAGGGAGGCAAAATTACACTCTGTGGGACGACCCGCTATAAACTGACGAGGGGAAGATGGACTCGCATTTTTGCAGCTACTCGCCCGAGACAATTGGCCGTCCAAAATGGTCGCTGCTTCAACTTGACAAGCCGACCAATGCCTCAACCGACTTAGCTTTCCGACGACCAGTCACAACGGTCACTGTTCAGCTGCAAAAATAATGGGCGACATAGGCCGGGTGAAAATATCCGTACCACAGAGCCTATGTCACAAATAATGCCGAAGACGTCCGCGTTTGCTCTTGTCACATAGCTTTTGAACGCCTCAAAGTGGTGGGGCACACATAGCGATCGCCATCGGTGAAGTTCAGACTGCTGGTAAGTCTTTAGTAAACACAGAGGTAACATACCATCACTTGCACAGTCGTTGCCTAATCTTTTCTTCTTTTACTTTTCATCGCACGAGAAAACGCCGACGGCACACAGTGTAAAAAGGAAAACAATCAGTGGCCGCAAAATGAACAGGCCTAACCTTACATCTGCCTCCTTCATATTTTCTGTCATTCTTTTCCTCTTTCTTCCCCTCAAGATTACAAATGTCAGAGCTTACAATTTGCCACGCTCCAGTCATGGCTTTGTACCCTTGGTCTACGTGACATAAAAGCATTTGTGCTGTCACGATCCCGCGTAAACAACCGACGGCCCGCCTGGTCCGACGACCTCGCGACCTCGACACGCATGCGCACCGCCGAGTTGAAGAAAACGATGTAGCGCGCTTCTGTCAACTTCTGCCAAGCTCTCTGAAATTCCACGGACCAAGTACGGCGGGATTGGAGGCGTTCCACGGGGCGGGTGCTGCCACAAATCTACGAGTGGAAGATGACCAACCTGAGCCGCATCTGCCAGCAGAATATGCTCGCTCCGAAAGGTGTGCTTTTGGAGTGCTCAGCATCTACGAGTGGAATACACCCTTAGTCTTTCAGTGCCTGAGATGGATGGTGCTCTTACTTCAGGAGGCACCTACAGCAGGGTTTTGCATGGAAACAGACTATGCCGCACCACTGTCACTTTGTGAGCTGCACGTGCTTCCCTTCAGCACCACTTGGATACAAAGTCCTTGCACTGAATTTTCTAAGTCACCGAAAAAGAAGCGTGCTTTCTTGCCCATTCCACTCCTCTTGGTTCCGCACGCTCTTTCTACACCACCTGCCCCTGCTCCTCCTGTTCCTGCGTGCCAGGTTCGTACCGTAGTCAGCTGCGCACTCGGCTTCCCCGTTGGTGGCCGGGGTTCGATCCCTGTTACCCGTTGCCATTTTTTTTCAAGATTGTTTAGTGGTTATGAACTGACCGACCTACACATTTCATATTTATGTGGCTCCTGACGTTGGTTAGCCCTATAAAGCTACCGCTTTAATACTACAAAATAAAAGGATATTTTTGCACAACCATTGCTGACATGCTCAACCAGCTCAATGCTTTTTTTTTCTTTTTCCTTTTAACACAGATTGTGTTTTAGACAGCCTTTCTCATGAAAAAATTGTCATGAACGAGCATCGCAACGACCGCCATAGCAAGCATCATGAACAAGTGACACGCTGGGGAAGCGTTAGGGACATTAAGGTTTTATACAAAGTTCATAAATAAAGCTTGAGTCTTTACAGGAAATGAACCTGGGTCGGTCCGGTGGCAGTCGGATATCATAGGAGCTAGCTATTAGCACAGCTGGTCTGAAAGGACAAATGATCTTTATTTATTTGCCAATGTCCCGGCAAGAGTAGCAGGTTTGGGGTGAAAATAATAAAGAAAAGAACCGAAAATACATAACAAGAAATAAACAAATCAATAAAGAAAAAAAAGAATAAGTAAAAGAAAATATATAAATACGAAAATAAAAATTGAGCAGTCCTGTGTTAATCCATGGTACAGTCACAGCGATAGCTGCAACACGTCACGGCAAAGTCATTGCACGTCGGCGTCGCGTTCACACACCGTGGGGTGCGTGATCTTTTACGCGGGTTTGGCAACGTCGACGACGGACGCCCTACGTCGCCAACAACGAAAGCAACCCCGACTGCTACGTCAACAACGGGTGTCACTTCCAGTGGTGGGAGGAGCCCGCAACAGCTATCGCCGTGAAACCTAACACAAACCAGACGCGGAGTGTGGTTTGTGCGGGACACAGTCTGCGCTCCCCGGACTTTGTCCGCACCTTCGAGCCTGTATCATTTTTTATTTGGGGCCACAGACAGTCCGAGGGGAGTGTCTTTTTCCCCCCGCCTTTTTACCCCCTTTCGCTGCCCGCAGCCCAAGCTGGAGGCACTACGGGTTCGCCCTACGATTCGCCTTGCACAGCCTCAGAGCACGCAAACCGGTCAAGGGAGCAACAATGGCGGCATTCGGGTGTTCGATGCATCGAATGTCAGGGGTGATGCAGTTTGATACAGACACACGAGGCTCCTGGATATTCAAGGGGATGTCTGGACTGTTCGAAATAGACAATAATTAAAAATACCCGGATTCTATGTAAGTGGGCTCTACTATACACAATGGACCATAGTACTGGATTTTCCACGTCGTGATGTTTCACATGTCCACGCCATGCAGTGTCATGGTGGGGACCAGTTATTTTAAGTCTTAACATGCCTTCAGCCTCATCATTCGTTGAGCTACCTACGTAGATTGGAGCAATTGGCTCCCCTAAACACTTTGCAGGAATGTAAACTACTTGCTGGATTATTTTATAGTGTTTAAAACGAGGCAAACGCTCGGTTGTTTGTTCCTTATCAGGACAGAGGAAAAAAGACTGTGTGTGTCCTAAGCCCACCTTGTAGAAGCGTCCCACGTCGATGCCCGAACCGTCTTCCGCACCGTCTCCCTTGCACTGAGGCGATGACGGTCCAACGGAGGTGGTAACGATGAGCACCTTGCGACAGCGGCCACGAAAGGCCCTGCCCGCCGCCCCCCTGGTGGCCATCTTGGTGGTCCCGGGTTCGGGAAGCCTCTTGGGAAGCGCCCCGCCGACGGCGCCCCTCGTCTGCGCGTCGCTCCCTCGTGGAAACGACACCTGGGCCGCACTGCTGGCGGAACAACCCCCGAGGACACGTACGGTGAAAAACGGCACTAAAAAGCCAGAGTTAACAGGAACATGCAACACAGACCGGGATGCACGTCTCCTTCTACCCGTTTACAGCACAGTTTTAACGCAGAATGCGTCATTATTCTGCTGGTCTTGGGTTTTCGTGCTGCTTTAATGCAGAATCTGTTTTACAATTGGTTTAGTCTGGAGCATCACCAAACCCCCGATTCCTTAATCTGACGCTCTACCTTTGCACCAGCAGAGGGGCTCAGACGAGTACCCTCGAGGCCCATTCGCGTTTGCGACTGAGCAGACGCACGACTAGCAGGCAACGAAGCTCTCAGGAGCCGCCATCGATTCCGTCCATCTCACCACAATACGGGTTTGCATTTTGCTGCTCACATCTTTTTTTACAGCGGAGCTGTTAGGGCTAGTTTCTCCAGGATCGTGTCCGGTACCAAAGAAATGTCGACACCCGTGGTCGACACGACACTCTGGTTGCCGCCGTCGCTCATAGGTGGCGGTAGCTGTTCAGAGTGTTGTGTTTGCCGATTGTCTGTTTGCCGCCGTCGCTCATAAATCGTGGCAACCTTTCCAGCCACGGCAACCAGACAACTGGTTGCTGCCGTCGCTCATAGATGGCGGCAACATTTCTTCTGAGGAAGAAGAGCGGGAACGGAAGGAGCAGCGAATTGCGCGCGCATGGTTCCGCAACCGCCGCGAAGCCGCTATCGCCTAAAGTTCCACTGCGTCGAGAGCTTCAGATTCTCTTGCAAACGAAGAGCAGATTGCTTGCCTGGAAAGCCACTGCCGAGAACAGAAGCTACAGCTCTGCTGCTCTTCTTTCTTCACCAGAGTGGAAAGGCTGAAAGTTTTGTCGCACGGCTACTCACTCGTTTCATTGGCCGTAAGAAATAACTGGCGTTTTGGACCGAATGCTTTGGAACCGTACAAAGAAGGCACAATAGCTGCATCGACATGCACTCGCATGAGCTTGCGTAGCTGTTGGTCAAAAGTGGCACAGATATGCTGCCAGGCCAAGGTCTTTTCCAGGCGCTCGTTCAAATATTGTGTTGCTTGTCACGAAGAAATGGGTACTCTTTAACAGCGCTGACCAGAGCTTCAAATGCAGAGACTTCTGTGGCCGCTACCACAAGCCGGGGTCTTGGGCAGCACGTTGGTGACATCTCCCAGAAATACACCGCAATGCCGGGTGTAAACAAACCCAACGTGCCAAGCGTCACAAATGAGGCATTACCGACTTGCTCGGCCACTCGGCGACTGGGCAACCAGTCTGAAATTGATTGGCCAGCCACTGCTCCAAACTGGTCGCTTGTACCGTCGTACAAACCATCGTAAAATGCTCACGCACGATTGCTGTGACTTGCAAGTGTGAACGCTCATTTACGGCGGCTATGTACACACCGCAAGTCTTTCAGCACAAACATGCCAACGCCTTTTTTTCTGTTTTTCTCTCAGTATTGAAGGACTGTAATCGAAACTACTATAATTATGAAAAATGCTCACCTGGAAAACTAACCTCAGTGTAAGTTTTGATACCTGCCAGTACCCTTTCAAACTAAAATGCAAGAAAGTGCCGAAGTTGTGTTCGCACTAACAGTGTTTTGCAAAGTACTTGTATTGCCGTTAAAACATCTGTCAATTCAATGTCGGGACTGGTCACGTGGCGCAACGTGATCATAATCACTATAGGTTACATGAAGTCAAGTGACGTGATGCCGTGCTGTCATGCAACGCCATTCAACATTAACACTGAATGAAAGACGAAGCTGCGGAGAGAGAGCTTAACTACTGTCGTAACCACTGTAGCCCAGATTCATTAATTTTGACACACTTTCATCAACGAGATGGGTCAAACTCGTGCCGTTCTTTCACAAACCGCAGCGGCACACCACGAGGTAGAAGAAAAGAAGGACTCTCGTCCCATGTTTTTAAAAATAAAACAGTTCACAAGAGGATGCCCAACCCACCAGATGTCTATGTACAACCACCTCTACTGCACCCACCCCACCCCGCTTCCAAACCCTCGAAAGTCCCAACGCAGCCAGGCGACCACCCGAGTGGCCGGTCCAGCATCAGCCATAAAGGTGCTCACCCTTGCCTGTGTCTCCAGAGCCTCGAAGCCTCCTTCTGGCTGGTGCCGGACGAGGGGGACACCAGGAGCTGGGGAAGCGTCCGGCCCACCTTCTCTCCTGCGGACACGTGGAAAGGGGCCCTCCAGTCAGACGAGCAGACCGTTTGAGCATTGGAAACTTGTTCATCAACAAAAATAGGGCAAGGCCTCTATATAGAAGTAGCTGGAGCCACGCAAAAGGCTACGCTTCAGAGCACAGGTTCCGAAAATTTTCGGTATTGAGGAGCACCCATCTTTCTTAAAATTGACCGCAGGGGAACCCCTCCCTCACTCTTGTCATTGATGCAATAAAGTGGTACAGAAGCCCACAAAACTTGTAAAACAATAGTAGAAATCACTAGGGAGTGTTCGATGGACAGTAGTCGATTGATGGACGGCTCGGATTGGCTAAAGTCTCGCTTCAACTGGAAGAATGTTTTACTTGGGGGCAGGGACGGTTGAGAAAATCTGGGAGCTTGGTGAACCCTCGAGGGTACTCTACGCTAAAGTCACTGGATCTTGGGAAAGTAGCACCAAGCTCCTCGTTTGGTTGCCACTTTGGTTCGTGGAACGAACAGTTTCTTCTTGGCCAGTTCATTCTTGGTGAGCCGATCTAAATTAGTTGCAAGAAGTTGCTTTAGAACGGTATGTATTAAAATTGTGTTATCCACACACCGGCAGAAAAAGCGCACATTTTCGCACTGCCACCACAAGCTTGACGGCATTGAAAAATAATTTTTAAAGCGATAGGTTTACAGGCAACACTATGCAGAGATTTCGACTACGTGGGCTGTCGTCGCCGCACGCACGAAGGGAAAAATATTTTTTTTTCCTTTTGGCACAAGGAGGGAAATCGAGTCTTCCCATCGGCCGTGTCGCTCGAACAGAGCGGAGAGGGCAGCCCTGGCGTCCCGCCAAGAATGGCGCGATGGAGGGAAAATCTTCGTGTCGTCTGCTTCAAAGTTCAAACAGTTTTCTCCAAACATTCCCCCCGTTATGCGAAATCCCACTTTGGCGGTGTCCAGTTGCTTCGCGTAATGTTGGATGGTTCTAGAAACTTCCACCATGCTCACCGACTTACTTCACGGATCACTGGTGGCAGTCGTCAGTGGCATTCATGACGGCTATGAGAATTAACCACGTCGCACCTACATACTCGAGTATGTGGCAACACCCCTCCACCCGTATGGCCTGACTATGCTACAGCTATGGCTTTCATCTCTTCGCACAATATGGGCAAAAAATATTACTTTTGTTTTTAAATATGCAAGAGGGAAAATATCACTGTAAGAGATCCGAGAAGATAAGCTTGATTGATAAGTTGACTGCGTGCCCGGTGCCAAGGACACTTTTATTGGCAAGGAACACTTTCAGCACAATCTTCACGTTACTGGTTCAGGACGGCCTTTTCGAAGATTTTAAAGAACCTAAATGGTGATTGCCATGACTACAGAGACGGTTAGCCAATCAAGGTTTTGGTCGTCTGTATGTTAGTATCTGTTTGTGTCCTGCCAGAAAGCAGAGAAGGCAATGGCACTACTTTCCCAGGATCCAGTGATCTTACTCTGAGCAACCCCCGGGTTCCTAGGAGCCCACTTTGAGAACCCATGCATCCTTAACAAAGAGCAACAACACTCGTTTTCCTCCCTGTTTAAGGGGCAACGCGGGTCTTCGGAGCCAAAAACTGCAGTCTTTTGAAAATGGCGATGGCTGTTCTTCTGAATCTACCAGACTTCTAATTTCATAGATGAATAATTGAGCTGTAAATCAATTTATAATGTCTATGCGGGCTGAATGTAATGTGCGTTGAAGCTGACTCTAAAACACTGTTTTCACAAAATAATTTTTGGACTTGTCGAAAATTTGCAGGAGGGATATCCCAGCATCTAGAGCAGATGGAAATATAGCCTCTACTGAAATGTGTAGCTAAATATGTGAAGCATACAATGTTGCAGGCATGTAGCCAGGGGGGAGGCCCATGGGGCCTGGGCCCCCCCAGAATCTTCTATGTTGCTGGGACCTTCTCTCCCCTTCTCCCTCATACAGTGTTTTGTCATAAGCGGGCCCCCCCCCGAAACAAAATCCTGGCTACGTGCCTGCAATGTTGAGAGCAGATTTTTTTAATACAAGTCTAGAAAATTTTCTATTTGATCTTTTGTTTTATTACTTGTTAGCCACGCATTGAGCACTGAACTTCAATGTGAGGTAAAATCACTAATATTGGGTTTATCTTAAAAATACTTCCAACATTCTATTCTCTACACTTCATAGTATCCAGCCATCTGTTAAAAAGGATATTCTGTAGAGCAGTTTTTTCCCTATCGTTCCTCCAAACAAAGGCAGGCAAGTTTTAATTATCTTGAGGACAATTCTGCTGACTGAGAAAATTACCAGATATATGAAATCGGCACGAAAAAACTCAACAGGCTTGTGCAGTTTCATTCGGTTTGGTCATAAGATAAGAAAAAAAAGCTCCAAGACCAGTGTTCCCCCTTAAGCCGCCACAATGTCCATTCGTCCATTCACATCATGCGTCATTTATGTGCCAGCAGCTAGTGGGCTTTAGGTGCCCACAGCCCCACTGGCACCCTTTGTGACAGTTACCGTTCTGAAATTAGAATTTTTGGTGGCACATTCGACGTTAGGAGATTGTCGCAGTACTGCTTGCTCTGCAGCGAACAGTTTGAGAAAGGACGACGAAAAGCGCTTCTTGTGTCTTCCGTCGGGCACGTCGACAAAGGCTGGCGACTAATAGCAACACCGACTATAAGCGCCAACATGGCTGAGGTGCTCTTACTCCAAAGCACAGATTTCAATTAGTGACTCTAAAAGTAGCTAAGTCCCCCAACTAAGCAATGCTTCAAAGTAACAACACTTCAGCCATCTTGCAGCCAGTTATCTGATGATGAATCTGAAATCGCGGCAGGCACTTTTCCGTCCTTCTGAAAGGGCGAAGCAATCCACGATGAAGCAAAACAATATCGCACGAGCTTTCCAACACCGCGCCTAGAGCCAAAAAAATCATATTTTCAGATTGCGACCGTCGCCAATTGTGCCTGCTCTGTGCGAGACAACAAAATGGCACCACCCAGTTGACAATCAGGGAATGAAGCACTCGCACTCTAGCCGTAGATTATTCAGTGGCTCCAGAAGTAGTCATCAGAGTCAACTATCATTAATCTGGGAAGTGCTTTCCATGGCTAGAGCCTAGAACTCTTCCTCTTCATTTCTTCTTCTTCCAGACAGTTGTCAAAAGAGCTAGAATGGCCGACAGCTTGCCGACGTGCCCGATGCTATTGCAGCAGAGCAGCAGTGTCGTGACTTGTTAGAAATGGAGATGCATCGCCATCTCCATTTCACACTGTCGCTGGCTGCGGATACCGCCGTGTTAGTGTGCCACCAAAAACGGTCAACTCCCGTTTGCTAATGCCGCTCAAATGAATAGCCACTGTCACAGCCACCAATGCAATAGTTAAGACCCTCAATGTAATAGTTGAGATTTGTTTTTGTATGAGGAAAGGCCTCCTCAATTGCTAAAAAAAATGTCACAAAATATAGAATAAAGTAATTTTACTAGTATTGTGGGAATATCTGAGTTGTTATAGTAGTCTCATCTACAATGTTATTCGATATTCGCTTCAAAACAAGCTGCAACATTTATATTTTTCGACATGTTGATCCCAGCAAGATAGCCCCGTAGAGCGAACTTCCCACCGAGCACCGGTGCACCGCGGGGAAGCAACACCCACGGAGCTCTCCTCCGCGGGTGTGGCTTCTTCGCAGTACACCGGTGCTCTGCAAGAAGCGCACTCAACGGGGCTGATTCGTCGCAATTAACACTTCGAAAAGTACAAACATTGCAGCCGCATGCTTAGGAGGAAAGCTCATTTCCAAAGTGGGGTGGATACACGCACACGCCCGATGTATTTAAAAAAAAAACAGAAACTTAGTGAATGTTAATATCTACTTTGCAGTAAAATTTTCAATATTAAACTGGCATGCATGCCTGACAACGTGTGTTAATCCTTTGACTGAAGAAAATATATAGGAAAACTATATAGTATATAGGAAAACTAATGTCTACATTCTCTTAATTAGGTATAGCTGGGCATCTCTTTAGGTTTAATTTTATGTCAATTGTGTTGTTTACTTGCCATCCCAATGTAAATAAGCACTGGACTTTTGGGGCACACAGTTAATAAATACAGTTAGATTAAATTTAACTTATCTTAGAAATGAACAAGTTGAAGCTTGGCAATACCTTCACAAGTTGAGCTGGGCTTCAGTTTAAGCATGTTGAAATAGTCAAAGGCTTACAGAAACTATTCGATATTCAATTCAAAAAGGCTCGAGGTACACGTAAGCAATTCTTACAAGTTGTGAATGCGAAAGCATGCACGTCATTCTTCCGCTACCTTATTTCGTCTGCAGTGTATTTGCACCGACGGCAGAGCATGCCCTCTCCTCGCCGCTCTGACCTTGGACATTGTGTTATCGGCGCACTGACAGACACGCAGTGCCATGAAGTGGCGGTTGTTGAAACTGATGAGCAGCGGCCAATGCGAGCCTTGTCGACGCACGCCAGCCAATGGGACCTAAGCCGAAATCCATCAGCTTTACTCTGCTCCTTTGGGATCAGGGAAACTAGGTGCCGTTTGGCTAGGCTTTTCGTGTGGTTTCATAGCAAGGAGCTGGCTTCACTAGAAGAAAGAATTTAAGATGCTGTTTGGCATGGCTTCAAAGCTGGTGACGTTGGATCGCTCCATGGGACCAGGTAATGCTTTCGTATTAAAATATTTGTCCGAAACCACTATTCGCTTTGAATTCGCTACAAACTCAAAATCCATTATTTGCACATGCCTAAATTTTACAGAAATATGCTCAACAGGACAAACTGCATAGAAAAAAGATCTCGTCTGGTTTCCACATTCAATATCCTACTACTTAAAAGAGCTAGGTAATATCTGATCTAGCTTCACACCTCCAATCCAATGTTTGAATTAAACCACAGACATGTGCACTGGCTTTCACCTCTTAAAATATATGCATCTCTTTTCCCAGACAGCCACTATTTTGTAC